CGAAATCACTTTGAAAAACTGCCATGAGAATGTGAAATTCCTATTTGTATATTTTCATAAATAAACAAGTTACGGAGGAGGCATGACAATGATAAAAATCTGTTATTTGCGTATAAAACAAAAACGAATAGATTTTATCAAAATATTTTTTCACATTATAGTTGGCCTTGACAAACTCCACATTTGGTGTCATTTAACCGACCTCGTATCTCTGAATGGTGAGTGGGACACACTGTATATGTTCCAATAGTTATGACTCACTATCTGTATATTATGCCTATTATAGATGATGTATTTTATTTCATTTTTATAGTGAACCATTAACAATCAAAGATTCAAAGATATCTGACTATTTATTTTCTATCTACTGATGAGACTCTAATAAGAAATTATCATATTCAGATTGATTATATTATCAATATTTGGTAATGTCTTGAAAATACAAAACTTCAATATGGAATATGGATACAAATTGAGTGAAAAAAATAATCAACGAAAAAGGCGTGAGATGTTTTTCCAGATATACATATATATTGGTCTAGGCAAAGTATGACAAGTTATTCACAAGGGAATTTAAAAAAAAACGGAGTAAGAACCCAACTGAGTGAGAGATCATAATATGTTCTTCTCTCTTCCGCAAGGAACCGAGGGAAAAATCAATACTCGCATCTCGTTGTTATTGTTTTGGTTGCGGTTGGCGGATTCCCCATATACGTCCATGGGATTCACCATCACCGACCGTAGCAAACATTTTTTTATCGGAACCGGTCGGGCGGGTCGGGTCTCATCTCATCGTAGAAGACAAGGATAAACAAACATTTCTGGAGCGATACACAGCGATAGCACGCGGTGGGATGGGATCTGTAATTCTGTACAAAAGTGTAGTAATCTGTACAATTAGTTCAGACATGTTCTGTGTGCCTAGTGGAGTTGCTACCTCACAGTGGCTAAACGATAGACGAGGGGATGAGCGGGGCATCGACTCGAAAATATAACACAGGTTGGGCATCTTCCCAGCGTAAGCATAATATATCAATCAACGACTGAACTATGTTGAAAATAATATGATTCATCATTTATCCATCTATCGGCTGGAATTGTAAGTAAATGTTCTGTCAGCCGTCATCCGTCATAATGTTTCGTGCCCTGAGCGCCCTAGGTGGTCCAATCGGCAGTCGATTTGAATTGTACTAGATCGATACAGATTTCTGTACTGATATTAGGCTTCGAAAAATTGACGAGCTCTGCATTGAATTTTCAAGATGGCGTAATTAATTTATGATTTCTTCACCGTAGTGACATCTTGCGAGAAGGTCAGCGTTAAAATGTGGACGCCCGTCTTAAGCAATGTGAACGGCGATCTATAGTGAGTCGAGCGCTGAAGTTCATTTATACCTACTTCCGTATGACTTGAAGAGCCTTTATTATTTATCCTAACTGAAATCAGCTGTTATTGTTGTCATATCATTTGTTCATTTACTAATTACTCTTGCACAAGTGAAATTGTTCCATACGAAATAAAAGTATGTTTCATTGGGTTGAAATTTATCAGTTTTTACCCCATTCTGAACTTTTGTGACGAAAAAATATGCAACTGAACGTATATACAGAGTGGACCTTTGAAAACGAAACAGAGGCTCTGTAGGTCGCCAAAACCGGATTATCAAAAAAAACTGAAACAGGTCAACTACATTTTCGAGGGGGACATCTTTCTAAAATATTTTCAGCCCTGCGGCGTTGCCGCTTCTAAAGAAAAGAAGCAACAACTTTGTTATTTCAAATGGAACACCTTGTATTTTATTGCATTTTTAGATTCTCCCCGAAGAGCTGATTTCATCAATGCATCACACTTAGGGTCTAGCTGTAATGGTTTCAGGGATATAAAGTGTTCAAAATCGAGATTTTTTCAACTTCAACATTTTTTTGTGTCGAAACTATTCATTATTGGTCAAAACGGCTCTCATGTCCCGATCTCAACTTGTGATTTACTATCTACTGACATTTATTTGAAACAAATACAGGGTGGTTCAAGATTCAGAACTCTGATCAAATTATGAAAATTAAAATCTATAACCACATATCCACTGTATTATTAGAGGAGCAATATTAGTTCATGAACAAAAAATCAACTGCAACAAATCTTGCCTTTAGTGAATACATTTCCACAGAAATAACCAACTCACAAATTGATACAATTCACACCAACCTAGCAATGGCCTTTGTAAATCACAATGTTCTACTAAATAAGTTTTTGACATCATTCTCATTTGATAAAAATCTATTTGCATTCACTGAATCATATTTGACAAATTGTCAAAACTTTGAAAAAATTCAACAGCTCACAGTACCTCAGGTGTTCCCTAAGGCTCGATTTTGGGACCATTGCTCTATGTTGGTTTGTTAAGGATATTGATGTTTACCAGAGTGATTACCTCAAAAATGCAAAATTGCTTCTACATGCAGATGAGTCAAAAGTTTTCATGAAAATAACTTTAGTAGATGATACAATCACATTTCAAGGTATTATTAATGAGATCAAGTATTGTGATGATAATGATCTTTCACTAAATGAATCAAAATGTAAAATTGTCTCATATTCTAGAAGAAAAAAAAAAGAATCCTTGTAATCTATACCATTAACAATGTTGAATTGGAAAATTAGATGAAATCAAGATCTGGTTATAGTTCTCACAAAGAATTTTCCATTCAATGAACATGTTCAGAGCCTTAGAGGGTGATGCTATAGAAAACTAGGTTTTATAATGAGATCCAGTCAGAAGTTTCAGTATCAAACTTGCATAATGCTTTTCAACTCATATATCAGATCAAAGGAGTATTATATGGAATCCTGAGACAGAATTATATTTTAATCGAGATTTTAATATGCCTGAAATGATTCAGTATTAATCCCTGAAGTCTATGCATTTGAAAAAATATGGTGTACATTCAATGCATCCATTATATGAACACCAAAAGATTGATTTCAACATAGATACTTTGATTAAATTCAGATCTTGCTAATTTTTTTCATCTCACATAATGTGTTTAATGTACCTGACTTATTAATGAATATTCACATGGATTACCTGATATAAGACTGATTTCCAGCTGCTTAACAACTGTCAACAAATTCTTAAAAATATGTGATCCAAGTTAACTATTCAAATTTTTTTATTGTTTCTGTTATTTTAATATGTAATACTGGTAATACAAATTGTGTGTGTGTGTATAATGTATATAGTTTTAATTCTAGCTTTAGTCAATTCCAGTCTCTTCACCTACCTCCCTAACTGATACATTTTGATAGACAAAGCCTGTTTGTAATCAGTATAAATATATAAATAAATCTTGTCATATAATGGGTCTTTCCAAAATTGGAACATTAAATAAGAGTAGATCTCACCATACCATATCTTTCAACATTTAATAAACATCACAAGAGTCACTGACAGAGACAATGCCTATACTGATGTAATATTTCAGTGAATGGAATTAAAGATATTGTATTTGCATCAATATTTCTAGTAATTCTGACCTGCTGAAAGCAAACACTCTGGTTTTAGAAACACCTGAATATGGAACAAAATAAAACTAGTAACCAAACTTCTGTACACAATCTGTCATATTTTCAAACATTTACATATTCTGAGAGAAAATATTACAAAGATTTGCATGATTTTTCACACTCAGCATTCCTAGGGTCAGTGATAAAAGTGTATATTTGTGTAATAGAAATCTGATACAAAATATAGGTCTGTTGGCAAGCAATGTGCTTTCAATTGCCATAAAATTAAATATCTGGTACATTATCAATATACTAAGAATATTATACAACATTGTCATCAAATTACATTTTATGTGACCCTGTTCCATCTGTGATCAGTAATGTTTCATCTGAAGGGTTTGAGATTAAAAATTATCAAATGCCTGAGCAGTCTATATATTTACTCCATCTGACTTTCTGTTGCTTGTTGACATTTCTTGAAATGGATGCTTTGTTATAGATATTGACAAAGATACCTTAATTTAAATGAGTCAATAAAATAATTGCCTAAAACATGGTTTTCAATAGTTTTTATATTAATATTTTTAATCATCAAAATATTTTAAAAACATGGTATACTTCATACCTATGATGATGGATCATTATCTTCAGATATTGATATAAGTTAACAATATTTGAAAATATGCAAACTGCAAAATGAAGCAAACACAGAAGTTCCTTCAACAATACCAACAAGTATATCAAATGATCATTCATAAAACAAAGAGTGAATCAAGGTGCAATGAGTCTTGAATATTTTTTTCCAGTGACAATAGGCACCTTGATGTGCATGAAAAATATTTGATCCATGCAAGTACATGACAATGTCACTTACAACATGTGATAATAGCTAGATGCTCTCTCTTCACAGATAAATTTGCAATAAAGCTCTTGAACTGTGTATTGGACTGCCACTCCTGCTACCCAGGTTCTATTCTGGGCAGGGTCAACTTTTTTCAATTTTCAATTTGTTTTCTCCAGTAATTTTCCAGAAAATATACTTTCTAGGAGGGAAGTACTTTTAGGCAGACCCAAGTAAAATTGTTTGAGAAGAGAGGTCCCCTTTTATATGGTTATGCAGAAAGGATATATTTTCCTTCCTCATACCTGATGTCCCATATGCATATGTCAAAAGAGGAAAACATTCCTTGTCTATCATGGACTGAAATTACACCCAAACTTTGTTCCATATTATTAAAAAATATATCATATTAATTTAATTGAATAGACCTAATACATCATCCATTGAGGAGTGATGCCTGTATGTCTGCAAGAAATAAATAACAGGGAGATGGCTAATTTCAAGTTTAGCATTCGAACACTTGTTTACAAATACAAAATCAGAATCATTACTCAACAACAATGAGTGCTCATTGTATCATGCAAATGGCTATATATGTTATCATAATCCTAACACCCTAAAATTACTGGAGAACTAAAACATGATGAAACTCACCCATGTTAAATTTCCTACATACAACTGATGTCTCCTTCCAGATGAACTGGTATTATTGGATATAGGTGTAGCAGAGGTGAAGCTACCGCCTCCATCATCATTCCCACCCGTGGGTGGTTGATTGGAATCACCATTATCAACATTGTTTGTGCCGGCGGGAGCCGCTATAACATCGTCGTATAAATCTACATTCTCTCCACCGAAATCATCCTGAAAACAGTCGTACATGATCAACAATTTTTCACAATGGTAGCCGACAAGTCGTACACTAGATCGCTAGAACGCCACTGCACGGCACCCTCGCGCTACTCAAACATGGACGTTAAATATACAGATTCCAAAAATCGATATCCGATAGGTGACGATAATGCCTCTCAAACATAATCAAATAGAGGAAAGCAGTACTGAATGAACATACATTTCTCACCTGTGCAAAATCTTGATCAATATCATCCGCATATAAATCTATATCATTATCAGCCATCTTCACTACTGAAACCGAAGGAACACAGCTAGTTGTTAACATGGCTGCCGCCTGCCGGTTAAAAAGTCAAATGTCAACAATCAAACATCTCAAAACTAAAAATTTTTTTTCGAAAAAATCGTTCACGCATGCGCACGCTGAGGTTGTTCATGATCTCAGGATGGTTCCATGGGTTCTTTGTACTGTCACAGAATACTCAACAATCCTGTGGTACTGTCACACTGTCAGTAGATTTACTATAAAATCTATTATGGCGCGTTCACATGACAGCTTTCGCCTATCGCGGAAAGCTTGAATGAAACGAGCGCTCTGTTCACATGAACTCAACGAGGAGACAAACTTCAAATCTGAAAATGAAAACATCCAACAAGAAAATGGAATTATCATTGTTCATGGAATTTCGGAAATATATCCGTTTCGAATAACGTTTTTCACATATTTAAGTAACTCTTCATCATCTATAATAATTGAACTTCCATCAATAGATAACTATAATTAAAATTACATGAAAAAACAATATATCAAAAAGTAGGAAACAATACTAACCAGTTGAGAGAATCCGGTAATCTTTATTGGTGATCGTGAATTCTACAGAAAAGTTATTTACGATAACTGGAAATTGAATCAGCATTTCACTATTTTCCATATTTAAATATGACATTTCTCGCCAAAGTTGACAACAAAATGACAACAACTAACCTGAAAAAGTAAAACCCTGGAAATCGGGGTGCGTAGCACGATGCCCAATTCCCACGATGCCCAATTCCCACGATGCCCAATTCCTACGATGCCCACCTTCATGTCGACGATTACGAAGATTGCCGAAGAGCGCAACGTTGCCAGGTCAGGAGAAAAATTCAGAAAACACAAGATTCCCACCATGCCCACTTTTCATACATTCCCACGATGCCCAATTCCCACCAATTTTCGTAATCGTCGACATGAAGGTGGGCATCATATAGGAATTGGGCATCGTGGGAATTGGGCATCGTGGGAATTGGGCATCGTGGGATGCTCCCGGAAATCGGAGCTTCTTTTATCGTAATCGACTTTTTGGCATATGACCTTGATACCCAAGGAGAGTATACAGAGAAGGAGTGCTAGATCCCTATCTTCCAATGTATTCCCTAAAATGTGACGTCATGCTGATGCCTTTCGCATCTCTTTTGTTTTCTGTGATCATGCCGTGATCCTATTGGTCGAAATAATACACAAAACATAAACAAACATGGCTGAAATATTTGTTTCTTTGTGTGATTTGAGATTTGTGAGAAATTGTTCATGTTTTTTATTTATGAGTGATCACTCATCAGCTATCAACCATCGAATTACAGATTATAGAAAGAGGAAAGAGACTTTCGAAGCCTCCTAACCATTGTGAATTTGAGTGCATACAGAGAATTTTTACAGCCTGTGAAGAACTTTGCAAAGAACAACTTCATTGTGAGTATTGATTGTGATCCTTGTACATGAATACACATACCTACAGTTGTATTTTTCTCACAGATTAACCAATAAAATGCCTGGAATGTGCTGTGCTGTTTATGGCCTATTCCAAAACTGCAGGTGCTGGTATTATTTTTCATAGATTTCCTGGTTTTGTTACCATCATACAAGAATGGATAACCAGATGTAGCAGTAAAACAACGTTCAATCCAGATTCAAGTAGAATGTGTTCTTGTTATTTCACAATAGAAGATTATGAAAGAGACTTGAAGAATGAATTATTAGGTAAAGATTGCATTTCTCACAAAACTATATGCTTGACTTACAGATAACAGTTGTATCTATCATGCATTTTGTTACAGGTTTACCCTTGAAGAGGATTTTGAAAAAAACTGTGATTCCCACACTGGAACTGGCAGAAATTCGAGAAAACTATGATGCAGGGCAGACACAAGACCATTCAGAAAAATTATTGGAAGTAGTCTGAAATGATACTGGCCAAGAACAAATACATCAAGTCCATTAAAGTCCAATCATCATCAAATGTGAACAGAATTTCATCAACTTTATACTATCTAGGTTATAGACAATTTGGGGAAAAGTACAAGAATATGGAAACAATGATTCAATGCCAGAAGATACAAATAGAAAAGATACATCTTTAATGAAGCTCTTGACATAAGTCAGCACTTGAAAATTTGTAAAAAGGAAAGTTACTCTATATGAAAAATCAGTATTTTTATTTTTCACAAGTCAAAACATTACTTAGTTTCAGATTAGCAATGCAGCTATTGAACAAAATCTGGCAGATAATTATTTTTATGATCAAATTGCTTGAAATGTATCCTACAATGTTCATACCTACTCAAGAAAATTGTTATTGATAGGAAAGTTGGCCCTATTTTATCAAAACATAATAACTTTGTTTCAGATTAGCCATAGAGCTTATAGGTTTTCAAATTTCAATATACAAAAACAGATACTTTGAAATACTTACAGAAGTTGTTACCTTTTCAATTATTTCCAATATAAGCAAATGCTCCACTATTACTGTTCCCACTGAATAAAATGAATTGATTTCAAGTCTTGTTTTTATTCCCCTATAGACCAATAAGGAAATTAAAGTTTTTTCAGAAAATCAAATTTATAATTTTCAAATTTAATCACAATACTCATTACAATTAGTGAAATGATAATGTAACATATTCTTGATACATTCTTTACAAATCATCATCCATAATATATTTCTTTGAATTTTACTATTGTACTACTAGCTATACAACTTTAAGGAAAATAATACACTGAAAAAATTGGGTGCCTTCCAATTTTACTAAGGTCCTCCTCCACAAAATGTGTATGTTTTTCCTCTTGTATCACTATTCATGTATTGAGTAATTACACAGTTCCACAAATTTCTCTGAACCATTTATTTACCTGAAAATTTAATTAATTTAAAATAATTGAGCTGAATTTTGATTTTTTTTACAATCATTTCATCCTCAAAAATAACTCCATCTGGAGGAATATTGTGAGACAAATTGATTAACTTTTAAAGGAAAGTAGGAATCCTCAGTTTTCTCCAGATTTTGATAATTTTTAAAAAGTTAAAATGTGACATGTTTCCAACTTCAGCTAGAGGAATCTACAATTTTATATGTTATAATACTTATGTACTACAATCATATTCAACTTACAGGTAGGGAAAGTTGTAGCTTCCTTGATGCTTGACAAATGTATTTCTTAAGCTTTCCTGGAAAAACCAGTTTATTTTCCAAGTATTCTTCCTATCATGGGAAAGTAAACCTTAAATAATTCAAAGTGAGTATCAGATGATAATTATGTCAAAAATTCAATTACCAGTTATTTTCATTTATCTCCTTTTTTCCATATTGCCAATCACTGTGGATATTCAATAGCAACTTTTAATGCATATTTTCCATAAAATACTCTAATATAGCCTTGCAACATGGTTTCAATTAACAATTAATGGAGATTTAAATGTATCCACTCAGAATATTAAACATTATCTCTGAACCCTCTTCTTTCTTTTCTATTTTCTACTTCAGATCTGTACAGCTCACATTTAGTCTTCATTTCTGAAATTTCAAAAGATCATTGCTGAGCTGTGATGAACCAGTAATACAACAAAAATAACACCACCTGTTTATAGGGAAGATATGTTTGAAAAATCCTGAGACATCCCTGCTTGCCAAGTACCTTTATGCTTTAGAATGTGTAGGCTGTCCAGGAGCTAATGTTTGCAAACATAAGTTTTATATACCTACCTATTATGTGTTTGCTATTGCTTCATCTACTCTACATATTTAATGACCATCAGCTTTCAATACATCTTCCTCTGTCAAAGATCTATTTCTAGTTCACTGAAACATGAGAGCAAAGATGAAATTATACTATGAAGAGAAATATTTGTTTAACATACCTGCTTAGCATTCTCAATGATCCCAAGTCTACTGATATCATCACTATCATCAGTTGATGAAATGGACCATATTTTTTCCATGTGATATTCTTCGGTTTCCCATTATTATTGAGAGTATCTGAAACAACCAAAAACTTCAATGAATAATAAATGCATTTTCGTAATTTGTGCAACAAAAATATTACATTACATAATAATTATTTGAATCACTAACCTGTGAGCCTGTGAGACCATTCAACGATTACTTTCCAATTACACCCAGAGTTGATTATTCTAGTTCATGTCCCTCAATTTCATTATTTGAGATATTTTATAAATACAATAAAAATAATTTTCCAATTTGACGGCCATATTGCGATCAATGTGATGACGTAGTTCTGATACCCTATCACGTGACCACGGCAGAAGATTTTGCGGGATCTGGCAATCCTTCTAGAGTTTATAATCCTTGCTTGATACCAGCATGTGAACGCGTCATCAGCGTTCATCTCTGTTTATGTTCGGTGTCAGCACTGTCAGCGTATTCGACTGAATTGCACTGACAGGGTATAGATGCGAATTATTGGCACTGCACTGATTTCAGACAGAATTCGTTTTGTTCGAACCAATCTTATGCATGTGGATAATTCGAATTATTTTGGCACTATGTTTAGGACAACGTGCTGTTGGATCAAAGCTGGATCAAGCTAGATCTGATCAAATATCTCAATCCAAAGTTGAGAAATTGTCAAATCATTTCTTAAATTCCGAAGTATGGAGAGAATAATTATTTGTGGCACAGTATAGAAATATTTTTGTGAATAATCAGAGGTGGGTAACTTATCTCTGATAGTAGGTATATTGCAATTTTTTCATTAACTACAAATACCTCGTATTCTGATATTTTATTGCAATTTCTGGGTATCATTGATTTTCTGCTTTCCTGTTTCATCCTACTTAAATTTTATGTATTCCGAAATATCATATTATTGCTCTATATCGACTAAAAGCTACTATCACTGTTATTGCTCGACAATAGGGAATCAATTGCTAATATTTTCATTACATTCATTTCGAAATCTGAACATAACAATGTAAATGAACACCCAATAACTTTCAGCATTTTTCAGCCCGTGACTTTGGCACCGTCAAAAATTATTGTGCGAAAACATTCGAGTTAACAAGGAGCGCTTTTACCAACATAAATTCAGCTCTATCCTTGAGTAGTGCCTGTTCAGCCATTGTCGATCTAAATGAAAACCTAGTAGGCGATCTAGTTCACGTATAGATGTCTCTGAACTACATATTTTCTTTTTTCTGTGACGGGAAAAAAGTTTGGCATTTCATCTCTGTTGGCAGGTTATAAAATGTCACTTTTCATAAATTACTTTTTTCCCGTGGGGAAAAAGTGAGTACTTCTTTCCCGGATATATATCACATATATATACTCTGTTAATGGCTTTTGTTGTGCTATAGTTCCGAAAAATGAGTCAATAATACCGTCTCCGAGAAAGAACTGCAAGTCCTTTTATCTTCCATTCGACTTCGCGGTTTCGTATATTACTAAACAACTACTGAATTCGCAATTTTTTAAAATCAAATCACAGAATTGAACTGACAGAAGTGACATCAGATATTTGATTACTTCAAAAGAATGATAAAGATGTCTATAAAACGCAGGTGTCCCTACTGTTAAAAACTTGAAATTTCACGTCGATAATTTTCACATTTCGAAATAATGTAATATCTTCTCAATATTGATTCGTCCTGCCTTCTGTCACAGAAAAAAATAGTGTATTATACACGGGAAAAATATTAGATTTTAGCTCACGGTTTTTTGTCTCCCTCCGCTACGCGTCGGGAGACAACACAACCTGGAGCTGAAATCTACTACTTTTTTCCCTTGTATAATAAATAACTATTATTTGTCTTTTCAATGAACAGCAGCTTTTAGCTCCTGCCTACTATAACTACCTAACTAGGTTGTCATCTAGAACGACAATGGTTCAGCCCATTCAGCCGAATAGAAATGATATTGGAACTGTCTGATAGTGCATATACCAGCCGAACACACACGCACGACAAAAGTTGGAATTGAATGCGCAATAGTGCAGCCAGTCGAATACGCTATATGTTATAAGTAGACGGTGTATTTACTGATGCGCTTTTGTTTCAGAAATTCTTCTCGACCTCTCAAGAACAATGATTTCAGCGATTTTTCGAATTTCGAGTGAAATAATACCACTTTCACATAATATATGTTCCACGAACCTAAAATGCCCTTTTCCTTTTTATTTTCCCTCCTCACACGGAGAAAAGTAGATTCAACGTCTCGCTCGATCTGACGTAGAGAAATCATAGGAAGCGGTCGGGTGATTTTTTCCAAGTTATCGATACGTAAAAATGGCCGAGTACGCGCACCATATACTTTTTTCCATCAATGTATGAAGAAAGAATTTAGTCGATCTACTCACGCTGTAACGTTTCGCCACGTTTCGCCTTCGCGATGATTATTTATTTTGTAGTTTCCTGTTTCTAGGACTTTGCAAGGTTGGTAGAACTGATGATAATTTGTATAAAATAGTCATCAGTTCTACCAACCTTGGTAGTTTCCTGTTTCTAGAAGGACTTTGGGCGAAACTCGGGCGATTCGAATCTTAACGAATTCGTATTCCTGCCTTTTGCTTTCGGCGCTTAAGGTTGCTAACCTCTAAACTTTGACATTTGATGAATCTGTTTCATTTCAAAATTTTAAAATTTAAATTCTGAATGCTGATTCTCTTCAAGAGCTCACGACCTCACACACCCCTGTGTTGATATTTGGATTATAATCGTTTTATTTATTGTGTATTGGGCAGCGACAAAAGCATTATTCAAGAGTTGGTTTTGAAGCCGAAAAGATGCAAGCATTTTTGAAATCTGGCAAGTTAGGTGAATCTTCTGGAAAAAGTTCTAGTTCTAAACCTGCAAAAAAACCAAAATCTGTACCCTGGGTGGAAAAATATCGCCCAAAGACAGTATCGGATGTAGTTGAACAAAGTGAAGCAGTGGCCGTCCTAGAACAATGTATAACTGGAGCGGATTTACCAAATCTTCTGTTCTATGGCCCTCCTGGAACTGGAAAGACAAGTACAATTTTGGCTGCCTCTAGACAACTTTTTGGAGACATCTATAAAGAAAGAATACTGGAGCTCAATGCTTCAGATGAGCGAGGAATTCAAGTTGTAAGAGATAAAGTGAAAACATTTGCTCAGTTGACTGCAAGTGGTACAAGACCTGATGGTAAGCCATGCCCTCCTTTCAAGATAGTTATCCTTGATGAGGCTGATTCCATGACTCATGCTGCTCAAGCTGCTTTAAGAAGAACTATGGAGAAAGAAACTAAAACTACTAGGTTTTGTCTCATTTGTAATTATGTTTCTCGTATCATAGAACCCTTGACATCAAGATGTACAAAGTTTCGCTTCAAGCCTCTGAATGATTCAATGATTCTAGAAAGGTTGCAGTATATAAGCAAGGAAGAGAATGTAGAATGTGATGAAACCACTTTGAATGCACTTGTGGAAACCAGTGGGGGTGATATGAGAAGGGCCATAACCTGTCTCCAAAGCTGTGCTAAACTGACAGGTCCTGGGAAGAAAATGGATATTAATAGTGTATTGGAAGTAACAGGTGTAGTGCCCCAGCACTGGCTACAAGACTTTTTGAAAATTTGCAAAGGTTTAGTGAATTATAACAATCTTGAGACATTCATACAAAATCTCATATTAGAAGCTTATGCTGCCTCTCAGATACTTGAACAACTTAATGATCATCTTGTCAACAGTGAAGAATTCAATAATATGCAAAAAGCACTGATTGGGGAGAAGTTAGGTGCAGTGAGTTATAGGCTACAAGATGGTGGATCTGAATACATTCAACTACTAGATTTAGGAAATACTATAATTCAGGCTTATGCACTATCTGCTTGAAAGTAAACATAGTCCAGTATTTGAGAATAGTATTTGCAGGAGATTACATCATCTTCCACTTGTATAGTTTCCAGGAAAAAAGTCTAGGTGAAGTTTCAAGTTTCAACAACTGAAGTAATGCAAGTTATTCATTTGTATTGGACATTTTCAGTACAGGGTAAAAATTGCATACCTACCTACCTATTCAATATTGGTCAGCAGTTATCATTGTATTCTACTTTAATTCAAGCTTCAACCTTTTACTCTCTTGTATTTATAATGTTTTTGATCATATATCATTAGGAGTATGCATCTTGTTACAGTCAATTTTCCAGAAGTTTCATTCAAGCTGGAAATGATGCAATGAATTTTATATGTCTCTAGATCCATAAGAAAAAAATGTATTTACTTTTTAACTCAGTTTCATAAAAAAATATACTTGAATTTCCTCTATCTCTAGGTAAATTGCTGAGGAGATTTCTGATGAGTATCAGGTTTCATATATTTATTGTTAATTACCTATAAATAAATATTAGTTTGAAAAACTAAAAAACAGGCTTTTATAGATAGTCAAACTGAAAACAAGTTGAGAATAAAATAATAAAAGTGTGTTGATAAATACACATAGAAAATATTGGCACCTTTGTAATCAGTACCTATTTTCTATGTTATGTAGTTTTCAACACACTTTCATTATTTTATTTTCAATTATTTTTCAGTTTGGCTATCTACTGGGCTATCTGTAAAAGCTTGTTTTTTTAGTTTATTAATGTAAGAGCATATATTTTTTTTTCTGTTTTATCATCACCCACATTGAAAGTAGGTAGTTCAATTTGTGCACCTGTTGCCTTTTTGGATGTTGTAACCATTTATCAGGTTCTCTCTCTGGAAACTTCATTTCATATGAGTACTTGATGGTGCAAGACACTATAATACTATTTCACTGGATGTAAAAACTACTTATCCTGATGATCCTTAGCAGGATATTGGAACAAAACTATCAAAGTATGCTATTGTCATCATTCCTTGATAAGTGAACTACCATTTCAACCTCAGTACCTATTTTCTATGTGCTTTCTATTAGTTTGGCTATCTATGAAAGAATGCATGTTTTTTTAAATTTTATAATTTTTTTTTCAATTTTTAGTTGTGCTAAATAAATAATTTAAAAGCCTGTTTTTTAGTTTTTTCCTGTTTTATAATTATCCACAGTGAGAGTAGTTAACTATTAATTTTTTTCCCGTGATCTATGAGCCCTGCCTCAGTGAAGTTAGCCCAAATATCAGAACAACCTATTTTATGAAATTTGTCATATGAGTGAGAAAGTATGATATTTTTATTCAATATTTGCCTACAATACTAAACTTTTTTGTAACAGAAATATATTAACTCACGAATTCAAAAAACTTTTGATTAATGAAAATGAACCAATAAACCATGCAAATAGCAGCAAATCGCCACTGATGCCTTACATCGCCTTTTCGATTTATTACTGCTTCCATACGTCTTGTCCACCTTGGTCTTGACATAGTGTCAACTAATATCAAACTGTGTAAAACTGTTAAATTTCTTGCAGACGTGTTCGCGGGTATCGTCCAGAGCTTTTTTTTTTCATGGTATACAGGATACGTCCATGATTTCCGGTGATAGATCTGGACTACTGGACGTCCATTTTAAAACTGGAACATTGTTTTCTAACAGCACCTTTCTAACAGCCAATCTTTTACTTTTTTAACCGTATTGCAAGCGGCACCATCTAGTTGGTAAATAAGTAAGTACATTCAATATTGTTTGAACGCATTTGTTCAATTTGGGGCATTGGGCCAACTTCACTGAGACAGGACTCCTATAAGTGCCTCACAGAATTCGGTTCATTCAGATTTGCTGAAATATATTTCATGTTCGTTCGACCTATTTTTTTTCCATATCAATTAAAGACAGTCGACGACTTCCCCTGAGGTATGTGGCCCGTGAATTACAGCAGATTAATGAAACATTCCAGAAAAATCGTTCATCAGTTTTAAAGAATAGGTGAAACATTTTTTATACATATACCTATATAATGATCAATCATCCCACCTTGAAGTTATTTGGTAATAATTCCTTGATGATGATTTTTATCATGAAATGGTTTCAATAAATATATTTTCATTTTGTATAAATTTTATTCTAATGAAGCGGAAGAAAAATTCAAATAATATATAGAAAAAATACAATATTTAAATGATGTATAGCATATATTTACAAATTAAAATTAAATATAGACATAACATTCAACACCTTGAGTTCTGAGTAATGTTCGTTCACAGAGGACTAGTACTTCCATAATACATTTTCAAAAATCTCTAGAAATTCACAATAAACCGGAGTTAAGTTATAATCTCGAAGTAAATATGGTTATAGTTGGATCTATAAAACTCTGAATTTGTCACTATTAAAATACAAGAATTATATATACAAAGAATATAATTATGATAGCTATATACAGGTAATCCACTTGAAATTTCTAGGGTGAATTCATCTTTTGGCTACCTATACTTATTCCAAAGGAAGGGTTCCAAAACGACTTTTATATTAATTTATTCACCATCTGCTGAAATATGTTAAAAAAACTGGATAAGAAACAATCTCCAAGACTTCTCCCTACTTTTCAGATAATTTTTTTCGAAAAGTTCAAAAACACGCTGATTTTATATTTGAAAGGAAAAAATTTTCATGGGGTTTGATGGTTTGATCGAGGGTTTGATGAAAATATTTCAAACAAATTCAGTGGTATGATTGATTTTCTCTTATAATTATTGCCACTGGAATTTTTTGAACATATCAACTCATCATTCTTGTCATATTCATTGAGCATATATGAAAGAGCATACCAATTGAACACCAAATTACGAAAGTTATGCTGAAGAATCGACGTGTTTCGAAAATTCGCAGAACAACCAAGATATGTACTATTTTGTTTGAAGAAGGATCTCTAGAAAATTTCTTGGAGGTTCAATCATTCTATTATTTTATAAAAATCAATATACAGTATAAGTATTTACAGGGTGGTTCGGTTTGTAACACATAAAATTCAACAGTGTGTTACACTCATTGAAATAATAAAAAAAATATATAAACATATACTTTTGAACGCGTCGTTTTCGTGAAAATAAAAAAAATAAGAACTCTTCAAAATTCAGAGTTATAACTCGGAATTTTTCATCAAAATTCCGATTTATAACTCGGAATTTTAAAATTCCGTGTTATAACTCGGAATATTGGATGTAAAATTCGGAATTTTAAAATTCCGTGTTATAACTCAGAATATTGGATGTAAAATTTCGACTTATATCCCGGAATTTTTAATTTTACATCCAATATTCCGAGTTAAAACACGGAATTTTAAAATTTCGAGATATAAGTCGGACTTTTGATGTAAAATTCCGAGTTATAACTAGGAATTTTAAAATTCCGAGTTATAACTCAAAATTTTGAAGTTTTTATTTTTTTTATTTCATGTGTCCCTTCCAGGCCTTCGTACAAACCGTTTCGAACTTTTCATCAAAAAACAATATTTTCAACACTCTATATCTCGAAAAAGATCGATTAAAAGTATATGTTTACATGAACATTTTTTATTATTTCAAGGAGTACAACACACTGTTGATTTTTTTGTATTCCAAACCGGACTACCCTGTATATTATATTTATTTTATATTTTAATGTTTAGTGTGTAGCATAATGTCAAAGATAATGGCGGGGAAAAGTTTCTACTTAAATTTCAGAATTAAATTTCGTTCAATATTTCTCAAGAGCGGTTATTCATAGGACAGTGATATTCAATATCAAAATATTAGTAATTGGAAACACCAATTGATAGTGTTCATTGCACAAAATAAAGCCAGGTTTTGACCTTAATAGGTGCCTATTATATGCCTATTATACTTTTGCAAGCATAGTTGGATTTGATAGTACCTATGTACAGGGTATCCCACATAACATGGGTCACACCCTTATCTGGTAAACTAGAATAGATACAAAAACAATTGAGAATCGAAGTTCAAGTCATATGAACTTTCTTTTTTAGATGTCATCTATACAGGATGATCCATATGCCTGTGACATACCCAACATACGATTTTTCAAATGGAATGAGCTTAGAAAGTCGAGTTCAATGATATATATATGAGAACCTGATCTTCAATAAATAGCCAAATTTTAAAGCCCTATAGATACGTTGTGAATCAAGTTTTCAATGCGCAGTTTTCGTCATGAATTACCAAATTCTATATATGTCATCTTGATATTTCGTGAATATTTATAAATTTTGAATTTCCCAAAATGATGATGTGTTCATTTTCTCTGAATTTTCAAATGGAACCCCCTGTATTTCATCATCCTTGGACAGAGCTCAGAAAGCGAATTCAATGATGTATGACAATATGGGTCTGAGATCACCCGTTTCGGAATTATCCATGATCTTCAATAAGTAGTCAAATTTCGAAATACTCTAAAAACATTGTGAAAAGTTCTACATGCGCGTTTTTCGTTATACAGGGTGTCTGTATAAAAGGTCTTTACAGAGACATATCACATATTCCTTAGACCAAAATAAGTCGATTTAAGTAAATAATTACCTTAGTACAAAGTTGCATCGTTTTGGCTCCAGAGGGCCTAGAAGTTACAATTTTTAAATCGTTTTTCCCATATAAATTCAAAACAACATATGCGATTTTGCTGGAATTTGATATATTGATAGAATTTTAGGTGGCAATTCTACGCCAATGGAAGAAAAGGAGTTTGAGTATAAAATTTAGATTGCGCAACTCATTTACTTAAAAAAAGGTACTCCTGATAAGACTCGATTGTTCTCATGGTTTTGACGAAATTTGCATTTTAGTAATTTTAGAACATAAAAAATAATTATTAAAATACAAACTTTGTCAAAATCATGAGAGTAAATCGATTGTTATCAAGGGTACTTTTCTGTAGTGAATGAGTACGCAATCCAAATTTCATACTCAAACCCTTTTTCTGCC